GTGTGATCCAGAGAAGAGACATAGGATAATGGGAGGGGCACAGGAGATGGGAGTGGGAGACAGATACAAGCCCAGGACTGTGGGAGAGACAAAGCAAGGATGGAGTGGGGAGAGGGAGAGGCAGGGGAGCTGGACCATAGAAGGGAGGAGGGTCAAGGGTGGAGCAGAAAGAGGCTCTTCTCCCAAGCTCAGAGAGAGCAGGAGCAGACTGAGGATGCAGTGGCACTCCCGGCCTCTCCCAGGCACTACCCATGGCTGGGGAGGGGCCCACAGACACAGCCAAGCTGCTGTGTCCCTCACCACTCCAGCTGGAGCCAGAGCTATTTCTGGAATGTGGAATCTGGGTCAGAGTGGGGGAGGTATGACAGTGGCAGCACTGGCAGCTGGGGTGCTGCCAGCTCAGAAGGGATGATGGGCGGCTCCATGCCCTGCCCAGGCCACAGGAGAGGGGCCAGCCCCCCGCTGGGCACTCCCAGCCTGAGTACCACCTAGGCATAAGTTGTACCCAGCTGTGGACAGAGAGATCTCCTGCCCCCAGCAGCCTGGGAGCTCAGCCTGGCAGGGGCCAATGGTGGGTAGGGTCCCAATGACTGCTCACTGCTTGGAGGCAGAAACTGAAGAGGACAGGGTGACCCCTGCAGGGAGACCTTGACCCCATGTAGGTGCATCTGTGAGTCCGGCTGGAACCAGGGTGGCTGTACATACAACTCAACAAGTTCCACGCTTATGAAAGACTTCATATATGCAAGGGGTGCATGTCACAACACGGACACGACCAAATTCTAATGTCATTCCAGCAGCCCCTGGCAGATGGAAATAAAGCACCCTGTACAGATAAAAACTGCCCAGGAGGCAGGGAGGTGACCAAGGAGGGGTGGGTGTTCTCACTTGGGCACAAAGAACCCTGTGAGGGCAGCCTGGCCAGCCTGTGAGGGCACCGAGTAAACCTGCTGTGACCAGAGGGCACAAAAAGGAGGCTGGGATGCCTGGTCATGAGGACCAGGAGGGTGGCAGGGGAAGCCTAGAAGGTCAGGTGTTCAGTGGCCCCAACCTGCTAGGGGCATGGTTCCCACACAGGGGCGTTGGGGACTTGATGCTGAAAGGAGACCATAGGTATGAGTGCATGTTGGGGTTGGGGGCTGTGCTGTTGGGAGATGTGCAGGTGGGTGTCTGACGCCTGTTTTCCTAGTGTGTGAATTGACTACAAGGCCCTGTATATGTCTGTAAGCAGGTGCACAGTTGTAACATCTGTGAGGAAGAAACATTGTCATACAATATTTTCTGCACTATCTTGGTTTGGGCTAAAGCCCCCCAAATAACTGGATCACCCACATGGCATGGGTGGGGCTGCTGGGACTGCTGGAATTAACAGCCTCAAATGGTAACCCCTCAAAATCATCTCCTTTTCTGTGAGCACGAGTGTCTCCCACAAAATGTAAAATGTGTTCTGCTGGACCTTGACTCTGGACTCACATGATTTGCCCTGACTGGTCGCATGCTACCAGGTGTGACCCCACAGAGAGACTTGAATGTGCTTGCGCAGCGAGGGCTGCCCTCTCACACTGCTGCCCTGCCCTTCTGTGTGCCTGGGCAGCGCCACTGACTCCAGGAGTCCCTGTGGGCCCCAGGAGGAGGACGCGGGATGCTGGAGCAGAACCAGCAGACCTGCAAACCCACACATCAGAACAAAGGTTGTAACCATGGGCCTGGGTCATCACCTGCTTGCTTCTCACACAGCACTATTGGGATGGAGCTGATGGATGCAGAGGGGCTGTGACAGTCCCTGTTAAGCTCCATTGGGCCTGAGGACTCTTCAGTCCATGGGTCCTATGACTCTAAGTGAGCTCTAAGTGAGAGTGTGATCAGGAACTCACTTTTGTAACCAGGCAGCTGAATCTTGGCCAATCACTGACGGAGTCAGCTGCCCAGTGGCTGGCTGAGGAACCTGCCTTCAAACAGGTAGACGCCCAGGGTCACTAATCAGGCTGGTTGCCTGAGCTGGCACTTCTGTTTCCTTTTTATAAACACCCTTGGGTCAGGATGTAGCTCACAGGTTCTCTGAATCTTTTCTATTCCTGCGTGAGGGCTGCCAGATTCCGGCAGAATTACAGAGGAGCAGCTAATAACACTTTAAATAAAAATGTGCTGTCTCCGTATCTTTGGATATAATTCAAAAGGAACATAGGAGCATAGAGAGCACTAGAAGGCTAACTGCCAAGTAACAGGGCGTAAACTGTGATGGGAGGCTTGGAAAAAGGCAACCTGGATTAGATAGGGAAAGATCTCCTGGCAAAACTGTTGCCTGTGGGGACAGGAGGAGAACCAATGGATTTTACAGCAGTCTCCTTTTGGCTGCAATGGATAAGAAATTCTGAGAAAGAAGGGTGAGGTTCTAGGGTTAGCCTGGAGGGAGCGTTTACAGAAAGAGCCCAGTACTCATTCAGTGTCTCAACTTTGGCCTCTCCAACCAGTAAATCATTCTCAAACTCAGATACAGCCCGAGGACAAAGACTGAACCAAGTTCACGGCCAACTGAGACAAGACATGGCTTGGGGACCAGCTCAGGGGAAGGGTATGGTTGTAACACTTTTCAGTAACACTAAAAACAGCCATTGAGCCACTGGTAGATGTTCTCAGCAGGGCAAAACCACACACAGAAGCTTGATAACTCAGAGTGGCACAATGAGACTCCAAAGTATCTGTAGGCATGCCATTGGGCATGTGAAGTCAGTGAGATCAAACAGATAAAGTCACACTTTAATTAAAAAAAAAAGAGAGAGAGAGAGATTTCTGTGATCCCTCCCCAATTAGCCATCCAGACAGGGCTGGCTGGTCCAGGCTGAAGCCAGGAGCCCAAGGATCTGAGCTGTCTGCTGCTGCTCTCTCAGCTGCACTAGCAGGGAGCTGGAGAGGAAGTGGGGCAGCCAGGACTCCAATTGGTGCTCATACAGGATGTCAAGAACTGAATCACTGTATCATAATGCTCCCTGTTCCCAAATTGTGGTCAGGAAGAAAATGTGCAAAATTGAGCAGCTTAGGCTCAAAGGATTTAGACCCCCTGAGACATAAAAATACCTCTAGCTCCCTATCTTTTCTTCAAGTCTGCAAAAGGTATTTGTTGACCAGAAGCTCATGACTGCCAATGCAGGAGACACTCCAGAAATGTTCCCCCGGTGTTGGGTCCTATTCTTTATCAGAGTACCCGAGTACTAGTCCTCCACTTCCAATTCCAGCTTCTTGTAAAAGTGCACCCTGGGAGGCAGTAGATGTTGGCTCAAGCCCTTGGCTCCCTGCCACCCCCTGAGACCTGGATGGAGTTCTGACTGCCTGGTTTTAGTCTGGCCCAGCCCTGGCTGTTGCAGCAATTAGGGAAATGGACCATTGCATGGAAAATCTCTTTCTCTGGCTCTCTGCCTTTAAATTAAAACAACAACAAGAACAACAACAACAACAACCTAAAGTTGAAATTAAAGGAACCAGTCCACAACCCAGAGTACTCTCATAACAACTTGCACAGAAGGGCTTTGGCATTGCCGTGGATCACTAAGTCTCTGAATCTCCACTCCCCATCCTGACAGTTATCCCGGAGAGTCAGGTGCAGTGGAGTGAGGGGGACGTACCCATGAAAGGATGGTCCAAAGGGCCCCGTGGGTTAGGAGAGACAGCCAGCATGAGACTTCTGCCACACAGAGCCCAGAGCATAGCTGTCCCAGCTCCCCTCCCTCCCACCTGCAGGGCCCAGAGGCAACCACTGGCAAGCAGGCTGGGGGAAGCACTTACCGCCACACTCAGCCCACAGATACTTGGCCCTGGCTACAAGAGCACAAGACTAGAGATGGGTGAGGCTGAAGTTTTATAATCAGTCCAGACTCTTAATATCCAAAGATTTATGTTCTAGAAGTAACTAGAATGACTTGGGGGACCTGTCCCAGTTATTATCAGGACAGGGTAGGAAGGCTTGTTTAGTTCATTCCATGACTACCTTTGTATACTGCACCAACGGGGTCCTTCTCTGACGGACCCATATCACACACTAGGCAAACACACGAAGCAACCATCTTCCTGCAGAAATCAACTGACATGAGAGGCCGACACTGTGGCCTTGCAGGTGGAGCTGCCACCCGAGATGCCACCTGCATTGCCTTCATCCCATATGGGTGCCAGTTCACGTCCTGGCTATTCCACTTCCCATTCAACTCCCTACTAATCACCTGGGAAAGCAGCAGAGGATGGCTCCTGCACCTGCCTGAGAGGCCTGGAAGAAGCTCCTGGCTCCCGACTTTGGATCAGCCCAGCTGTAGCCACTGAAGCCATTTGGGGAGTGAACCAGCAGTTAGAATATCTTTTTCTTCTCTATCCAACTCTGCCTTTCAAATAAATAAATCAATGACTCTTTACAATGGATAAATAAAAGAAGTCAACCAGCACTGCTGTGGGTCATCAGTAGGCTCAGGGTCAAGTGTGAGAGTAGGGGAGGTTGCTGAGGACTCCTGCCTTTCCTCCCACAACCCCCAAGGCCGTGCCCTGGCTCATCTCATCTCTCTGGGCCTGGCTTCTTCTCTCAGATTACAGACTCAGGCAGAGCAAGCTCAACGCTCTCTACTGAACCTATTCCTTGGGCATGCTTGGACCGGGAGTGTCCCCCATGGGGCCTCTGATTGTGGTTGGGCTAGCTTTGGGGGATTCAGAGCAAGGACAAGGTATATGATGCAAACCTGGAAATGTGGCTCCCAGCCTCCCACTGCAGGCTCTTCCTCCCTGGCAGATCCCTACCCTCCCCACAGGCAGATCCACGTGCCTGCACGCATGAGCTCCACCTAGGAACAGGTGGCTGCTCTCAGCCAGGCAGCCAACAAGGTCTCCTGACACCTTCCTCTGAGCTCCAACCCTCCATTTAGTTTCAGCCAGTCCACCACGAAGTCCACCCCACCCCCAGGCCTGGTCCCTGAAGTTCTCCCATAGCAACATCCACAAGGCCCTTCCCCTGACGGGGTACTCACTTGGAAGCGTGCGGCTGTTGCTGAGGCTGCCCGTACTGGGCGGTGGGGAGAGGGACTGCAGGGACACACTGTCCTCCTCCTGCGAGCAGCCCGCCTGGATCGCCCGCAGGTAGCTGTGGCTGCGGGAGCGGAAGTAGCTGGGCAGCGGCAAGTCGAGTGCCTCAGCTGCTGCCGATTCCGCCTCGCTGCAGGCTGACTCGCAGGCTGCCTCGTACTGGTCGCTCAGATCTGCCTCCCGCACCTGTCCAGGCAAAGGTTCGCGTTAGGGAGCCAGCCCTGCCCATCTTGGGAAGGGGTGGGCAGAAAAAGAGCTTGGCTCAGCTCAACCCCTGCCTCCTCCCGTCTCACCCAGCGTATAGGGTCTGCAGGTGGAGCCACGAAAGAATCAACACCTACTCTCACCTGCAGGAACCTACTCTCCCCATCCCCACAGCAGGGGCGAGACCTGGAAAAGACTGCAAAGTGCCATGTGTCCACGTGGACCGGCTGAGAGTCGATGTGAAGTCACGTCTGAACTCAGTGTAACGGAAGTCCACAATCTATTAGTAATGCCTGCGCTGAATGTTGGAATGCAGTGCCAGGATGGATCCCGGCCATTTACCATCTTACAATCCAATCTTTTCCCATCTGCAGAGCCAGGTAAGGGAAGACTCTTGCCAGGAATAGCCAGCGAGAAAATGGCAGAACACTTCAAATATATATTTAAGGAGCAAGGGAGCTGAGGGGCCAGAATGGATATTGGCCAGGTGTCTGGAATGGAGGCAGAGGTGAAGCTGATGCCTGATGGAGTGCTGTAGTGGCAGGATTGATTAGCGCCATCTGCCACCGGTAACATGGAGAATGGCAGTGTGTTTATTAGTGACCGTTCTGCATCTACTGGTGTCTCATCCGGATGGCTCCTGCCTATGCCTGTGGCCCCTGGAAATGATGGTCCGGGATCCGGCAAGGTTAAACCTGAGAGGTGAGCCTACAGGTGTGTCCACCACACAGATGCTCTCAGGGTTCTGGGAGAGCTGTCTGACCTACATCTCAGTGACAAAGTATATATAAGCTGGGGATCGGGCTGGTCAAAGACGGATGTGAGGTGGAGGCCTAAGCCGGTGGACAGTGAGGGAGAGGACACAAGATGCCTAAGCATCACGTGAGGAAGGGAGGGACGGACAGATCCAGGCCTGGGCCTAGCCCTGCCCAGCCCCTGCTGCAGCTGCACAACCCTGGCCATTATTGCCTTTCCCAGGAGCTTTTTATACTACGTATTTTACAGAGAATCTTCCGTCTGCTGGTTCACTTTCCATTGCCTGCAACAGCCAGGGCTGTGCCAGACCAAAGCCAGGAGGCTAAGGGCCCGCAGTACTTGAGCAGCTATCTGCCACCTCCCAGGTGGGTATTAGCAAAAAGCTGAAATCAAAAGTAGTGCCAGGGCTCAAATCCAGGCATTCACATGTAGTATGTGGGAATCCGAGTCTCGACCGCTGCATCCCAACACCTGCCCAAGCTGGGCCACTTTGCCTTCATCTTGAGGACGTGACAAGTCAGGTGCAACAGCAAGGTGGGTGATGAGAAAGATCTTGGTCTGTGCCACCCGGCATGGTAGTTGTGAGCTATGTGTGGAGATTTGGGTTTATATGAATAAGAAATAACTTCAGTTCCAATCATATTAGCCGTATTTCACTCAGTCAATAGCCACCTATGACTAGTGGCTACCTTACTGGCCAAGTATGGACCACAGAAAGTTTTGCTGAGTGGTGATGGTCAACTGAAAAATAGGCCATGTGTTTCCCTCCCTATGTGGGAGACCTGGAAGGAGTTCCCGGCTCCTGGTGTGGCTTGGCCCAGCCCTACCAGGCACAGACATTCAGAGAGCGATCCAGCAGAGATGCAAGATCTCTGTCCTTTCTCGCTCACTCTGCCTTACAAGCAGATGAAAACAAACAGCCCAGGCTGGGGTGGGGAGGTCAGCTGACCAGGGCCTCCAGCCTGAGTGAGTGAGCGCCGTGTGGCTCCAGGGTCAGCACAACACAGCCTGCAGCAGGTAGAGGGGCAGCGGTTGCTGGCCGTGCTGGGCTCCCTGTCCACTCTCACGGACACGTGTTCAGGAGGAGCATATATCTTACCCAGGAAGAGCAGGCCTGGCCAGTCAGGGCTTAGAGCAGGAACTGTGGCTCCAGGCCCAACTTTGTCCATAGGCAAGCCTCTTGCCCATTCCTGGCCACAGCGAAGGGCTGGGCACATGTGCCCCTGCTTTCTAGTCTCAGACCTGAGGCCTGGTCACTTCCTTGGACAGGACACGTGTGTCCAGGGGGAGGGTGGCTGGTACCATCTCTAGCAGCTTCTGCCAGTAAGTGACTCCTTGTACTCCTCCGACACCCTGAAAGGCCTGCAGGTACTCTGTGTGGGACAATGCCAGGAGCTCGGGGCTCAGTGCCACTGTCTGGGAGAACAGGCGCCCAGGCCTGAGCCAGGCTGTGGGCAGGAGAGCAGGGAGTAGGCAGGTCCTTACTGGATCACTCCTGCATGCCAAGAGGAGACTGAGGCACAGAGAACTGGGGTGATGGGGGAGGAAGTGGAGGGTTGGCACACCAGTGCGAGCTTTGGCTCCATCCTCCCTTGTGATGGCTCTGCCTGTACCTGCTCAGACCTGGTCGAGGACCCAGCCCTGGACTCTGGGCCCGGGGAGAGGGAGGGGCAGACATACTGACCTGCTGCTCATGGCCAAACAACTGGGGGAGCAGGGAGGCCTGTCCAAACATCTGCAGGAAAGAGAGGGGGAGGGTTATGGGGGATCAAGATGGAGGAGTTCAGGTGTGGCTACAGAAGAACCTGAGATGGGCCTCATGGGTTCCCCCTTTAGCTCTGGGCCTGACTGAGGACCCAGGACCCATCTCCAATTCCCCCTGCTCTGTCTGCTGCCTCTCTCCTGGGCTAGCAGCCCACCTGGATACACAGGTTAGGGAGGAGTCAGTTATCTTTCCTGGCTGGGTTGTGGCATCTCTGGCGTGGGGCTGCAAGAGCGACTTCCAGAGGTGCGGGTTTAAGGGTAGGAGATGCAGGACAGAGCTGGGGCTGGGCAGGCAAATCCTACTGGGGACCCCTGAGGTGGGGTCCCTGAGTCTTTCTGTAAGGTGGTCCGAGTAACAGGGTCAGGTTGCTCATGGAGATGGGTGTGTGAGAAAGTGACAGAGAGGAAAACGGAGGGGGAAGGAGAGAATGAGAGAAAAGTGGGCAAGAGGGGATAGGACGGACACAGCGGGCAGCTGACAGACGCAGCATGGTAGGACGAAACAGGCAGGAGGGAAAGCTGTCTATCCAACAAACACCTGGTGCCAGGCCCCCACCAGGGATGCTGCCAGGAGCAGGACAGCCAGCTTGCCGCTTGTGGGCCGGTCGCTGGCTGTGGCAGGTTGCCGGCTGTGGGTAGAGCCCTGGCTGTTAGCAGAGCCCCGGCTTTAGAGGGAGATAGACATGAAGGACAAGGCAAACCAACATTGCTCCAGCTAGTGACAGGTTAAGCAGGGTCAGGGCCAGGGGCCGCTTCAGTGACCCAGGAAGGCCTCCTGGAGGAAGGGACATTTGAGCTGAGACCTAAGATGCTGGGAATAGCCAGCATTACAAGGATGTAGGAATAGAGAGTGCCTGGGAGAGGGGACGGCAAGGGCAGTGAGTTCGTAGCTAGGCAGCCTGGTGATGGCTGAGAAGCAGGAAGGACGCCTGCATGTTGGGGCTCCCTGGTTTCCCTCAGGTGCAGCAGGGGCTGTATGGACTGTTGTAGCAGGGGTGCAGGGAACAGATGTGCAAGCTTCCAGCTGCTGCCAGTGGTCCTGGGGGGCCAGGACCACTCCCGAGAGGAAACCTGGGCCTGGGAAAGGATGTGGAGAAGTCCCTGTGGGTCCATCTGCAGGATATGCCGAAGGCTGGTGCTGGGGAAAGGCACATGAGGCCCACTAATCCTGGCCATGGCCTGCTACTGCCAGATAGAGGGCTGGGCATGTACCTGACCACAGCAGGTGCCAGGCCTTAGATCCCACACACATCCTGCCCTCTAGCCTCTTCACAGTCCCAAAGTATGATGCACGCGGCAAGGGCTGGGGTCTGGTTTGGTCCTAACAGTCCTGGACCTCTCGCTAGCTTTGCCTTCTCTTAGCTGTGTGGCCTCACCTCTCTGTGCCTCGGTTTCCTCATCTGTGACCTGGGGACATGTGAGGGTTCAAGGAGCTGATAGCTGAGAAAATCGCTGGCATGTTAAAAGTATGGCACAGTGGGGCCGGTGTGATGGTGCAGTGAACTAAGTTGCTACTTCTGATTCCTGCACCCTGTATTAAGCTCAAGTCCTGGCTGCTCCACTTCCAATCCAGCTCCCTGCTAATGCATCTGGGAAAGCAGCAGGGCATGGCCCAAGTACTTGGACCCCTAGCATCCAGGCAGAAGACATGGATTGAATTCTGGGATCCTGGCTTCAGCTTGGCCCAACCTTGACCCTTGCAGCCATTTGAGGGAGGGAGGGAGTCAGTGGATGGAAGATCTCTTCTCCCTCCCTTTCTCTTTGCCTTTCAAATAAATAAATGAACACAGCCAGGCACTCTCAGCACTGTGGCAGAGGTCCTGGAGGTGCCCAGAGGCCCAGAGGACAGAGGTAGCCTGCCAGGCAAGATAATCCCAGTAAGCACAGAGGAGGCCGGGCCTGGCCAACCGTCCTCAGCTAGTTGTCTCCGAGCAGCTCTCATTCAGAGGAATGTCCGTTGCCCCTCAATGGGGACAAATTGTGGCTCAGGCAGGGGAGACCAGAACTGGTCCTGCATGGTTGCAGTAGGAACAGGACTCCTCATTCTCAGGGCTCTGAACCCAGCAAGGTGATAAGGCCCCCAGTTCTCTGCCACTGGCAGCCTGGGATCAGGGTGGAGGTCCTGGGCTCAGGAGACCATATGTGTGGGCCCTGACAGTACTGCCTAGCCAGGGGACAGGCTCTGGAGCAGACACACATGGGCACTGCAGTAGCGAGAAGTCAACAGAAACATGGGCACACATGTGGGGAGGATGGAGCAGGAGCTGCTGTGGGCACCTGTCCTCCTGGGAGGAGCGGGGGCTCCTCCAGGACCACCCTCACCTGGCTGAGGCAGCTAGAGTCATTGAGGCTGTCGCTGATGGGGTTGTAATCCTCTTCCCAGCTGGGACACTTGGAAGGCAGCAGCATGTCCACCGAGTCCAGTCGGTCCAGACTCCTGGTGTGGAAAGGAGGACGAGATGGGGCTCAGTGTGGGAAACTGAGGCTTAGTGCTGGGCTGTGGGTCAGCGGAGAGTCTGGCCAAGGCCACTGGGCAGGTAATGGCCAACAAGTGTTGCAATGAGGAGCCTGGAGTTCAGGAGCAAGCTCCAGCTGGAGGAGCTCCTCGCATGTCATGCCAGCTCCTGCCACGAGATGGCAGCACAAGCTCGCACTGGACAGTTGAAGCCGAGCCCGGCCCAGCTGCGCCCGACTCCACCTGTTTGGTCCCTCTAAGTCTGGGGGCAGTTCTAGAACCTGTCCCCAGGAAGGGGCTGGACCTCGGGCTATTTTGGGCAAAGGCCATTCCTGCTTCTCTAATATCCGCCTGGCCTCCACCAGGTCCCCGAGGACTGGCCACTGATCCTCCACCTTTCCCAGTCTCCTGAGCCCAGTGAAGGCCCGGGTCCCAGTGTGCCCCATTCAGCTCAGGCCCCTGGCACCGAAGGGAGCGGAACAAGAGGAGTGACCCCAGGCCGGTCACCACCCTGGCTCCAGGCTGTTTCCTGGCCTGCCAAATGGGTTGGGGTCTAGGGAGGCATTAGCGATGCAGGTGAGGATGCCCGAGGCCAGCGCGGCCAGCAGTCACTGCCCTCCAGGGCCGCACCTCGCTCACCTCACCGCTCCCGCACAGAAGGGCAGATCCCGGGGGTCCTGAACTCCAACCTGGGAGACCAGCCTCCCTTCCGCCTGGCCGGCCACCTCCGACCCCAGGAGTGGAAGAACTGGGGGGGTTCGGGTGAGTCCCTGCTGCCTCAGGCAGTGGGACCCGCAGATAGGGCGCTGGGACCCGCGAGGGCTGTGTGGGGTCGGAGAAGGGGCGAGGAGCAGCCAGTGCTGTTACCGGGGACCTAGCCAGGAGGGGACACACCGATCCCCGAGGCTGCCCCACCTGGGGGTGCGGACCCGTGGGCGGGGTTTACCGGAGCCACGCCCCCGGGAGGGCGTGGGCGGGGCTTAGGGACGACCGGGCTGAGCAGTTTGCAGGGCCCAGGACAGGCCTCCCTGCCGGGCCTGGCCAGCGGGTCCAGCTCCTATCCCTGCCGGGCCTGGCCAGCGGGTCCAGCTCCTGCCCGGCGTGTCCGTGGGTGGGCGGGGCCGCGGCCCACCTGCGGGGGTTGCTCTGCTCTCCCAGCGACTGCTGCGTGGCCCGCAGGTAGCTCTGGCGCCGCGCCGCGGTCTTGGGTGAGGGCTTGGGGCTGCCGGCCGACTCGTCGCTGTCCTCGTCGCCCATGGCTTTGATGTAGCTGCCGCTGCGCATGCGCCGGCACGGGATGGGCCCCTCGGCCGCGGAGTCCGCCTCGCGCGGGGACAGCAGCGCGGTGCTCCACTCGCCTCCGCCGGGCACCTGGGGGCAGGGTAGGGCTCAGTCTCAGTGTCCGGCCCACCACCCGGAGGAAAGGCCCAAGAGGGCCTCCTCCCCTCTCAGAGATCTCAGCCCCTTAGCATTAATCCCGGAGGCATCACTGCCTGATCCGATGCCAGTCCCTGCTTCCCACAGCCTCAGGTGGTGACTAAGTACCTGGTGGTCAGGATGGCTTCACTGGCAACCTGCCTCACTTGGCACCTGCTGCGTTCTGGTCACTTCAGGGGCAGTGCCTTTGGGTGGCTCCGGTCCCACCACACCAGGTAAACAAAGTCAAATGCAGGAGGCAGCCCCAGGCCTGGATCCAGAGCCCACACCAGGGTAATTGAGGCACCTGCGGTGTCCTCTGGCTGGGCCATGAGCTGGAGGAAGGATTCAGCTTTCCCTGGGAGCTTCTGGGGCCCCTGATGACGGCAGAGGGCGGTCCAGCCAGGGGCCTTCACCACCCTGCTGGGACAGGCTGTGCTGCTGCTCGGGGCAACACGCAGTCACACTTGTCCATCACTTGCCTCGCGTGTGGCGGGATGGCCTCTCCCACCTCAGCCCGAGCTGGGTCCCAGGGCACCTCGTCACGTGCACAGAGCTCGCGTACCTGCTCTGTGCCCCAGGTCTCACGGAGGACACACGCACTTGGCCCCCTCTCCTCCAGTGCCTTCTCTAACACACACACACACACACACACACGTGCGCCTGAGGGACACACACCTTCTCAGGGTCCCACCTCATGGTGTCCTTACCTCAGCACAGGCTGCACAAGGCCTCGGCGGATGCAGCACGCCTGTGGCTGCAGCGCACGGTGACACTTCCAGTCAGCAGAAGTGGCAGAGCGAGGCCTCCTGGGCTCCTGTCATCCCCTGCTGACCCCATCACATTCTGACCATCCCGGGTCCCTCCCAGTACCTGCTCAGCGGGGCTGCGAATGGCCTATTTCCAGCTGTCCACCTGTCCATCCCTTGGATTTCCGAGCACTTCTGCCAAGCCAGACCCAGTCCTGGGCCTTGTGGACAGGAAGCCGTGCTGCCACTCTGTAAGGGGCTAGCTTCCAGATCTGTCTTTGAAGGGGCAGGGACACGTTGGTCCCTCTCCCAGACTGAGAGCAGAAGGGCCCAACCAGTGTCTATTAAGAGCCTGCTGAGTGGGAAGAATCCCCACACGCCACCCAGGCCCCAGCACAAATCGGCTTCCCCAGCACAGCTGGGGTACCCTGCCCCTCACAGCTGGTGCTGTCCCAGCAGCCCCCTTCCGGGCCCATGTTTAGACCTACCTGAAGGTAATGGTAGGCTAGACCTTGATGGCAGGACTTGGACTTCAGCAGGCTTTTGTCCAAGGTGGCTGAGGTCTTTTGGCAGACCTCGTGGGCATGGCTGAGGGTCAGAGTAGACCAGGAGCCCCGTTTGACGTAGTTGGTGTCGGTGCCCACCCCAAGGCTGGGGCAGGCGGCCGGGGGTGCGGGTGGGGGTGGGGGTGCGGTGAGCTCACTGGCGGTGTTCTTGGTGGACTTGAGCATGTGCCCGCTGATGGTGTTGTAGGCGTGCATGAAGTAGCGCGGCTGGCTGCGCTCCTGCTGCCGGCCCAGCGTCATCAGCCCAGAGGCCGGGCCGCTGCGGAAGGCGCCTGTCTCCCCGTCCAGGTTGTCGTCGGAGCTCCACCAGCCTGAGATGTTAGAGCGGCTGCGCCGCTTGGGCTCCGTGGCCTTGGCCCGCTCCTTGCTCTTGGCCCTGCGGCCCTTGCCGTCCTCCAGGCCACCTTTCTTGCCGCCATTGCCGCCGATCTTTCCAGCCGTGCCCTCCAGTGAGGGTGCCTTGGTAAAGAAGAGCCGCTGGACCGAGTGCACCAGGTGCCGGATGCGGCCGGGGCTCTCGCCACGGGCCTTGGCCTCGCCACGGGGGAACTGGAGGGTGCTGAAGCCATCCCGATGGATGGGCAGCTGCTTCTCAAATTGGTCCAGGAGGTTGGCTGGCAGCCGGTTGATCTTGGTGGCCTGGGCGTGGCTGGGGAAGGGGCTCTCCTCAGGCACCTCAAAGTGGGAGTTGTAGTGGATGCGTGGGAAGGTGCTGCTGGGGGGCGGCAGCTGGTTGTTGAGGGGGAAGAGGCCGTCTCCAGGCAGCGCGCCAGGCCCCGGGAAGCGGGCCTCGCGGGCGAAGGCCTCGGTGGGTGACAGCAGGTAGGGGTTGCGGTCAGGCCCTGCAAACAGGGGCTCGTGCGGGGGGTCCAGGCTGTCGGAGAGGTGGCGGGGGCGGCTGTCGCCGAGGCCTTTCATGATCCCGGCCCACGGGGACGGGGGCCGTCTGTTGCCCTAACAGGGCACCCAACTCACCTCTCCCAGGCAGCGGCGATGCTGGGGAGAGAAGACAGGGAGAGGTCAGCCGGATTTGGAGGTGACTGGGAGGTTTAGGTCTCGGGGTGGGCCATGTCTCTGCTCAGGGAGTCTGCCCAAATCACACCCAGAGGCCTGGAACAGCACAACTAGCCCCACAGCCACTCTCTGTCCCTGTATCCTCCTTGGGCTTAGAGAGGCTGCACCATCCCCACCCGTGACCATGACACTGGAACCCTTGCTGGTCCAGGTCTCTGGGTTCGGTGATCTACAGCAGGTGTTGCAGCTGCTGGTGGCTTGGCCTCTGGATTCTTTTTTTTTTTTTTTTTAAGATTTATTTTTATTGCAAAGTCAGATATACAGAGAGGAGGAGAGACAGAGAGCAAGATCTTCTGTCCAATGATTCACTCCCCAAGTGAGCGCAACGGCCGGTGCTGCGCCGATCCGAAGCGGGGAGCCAGGAGCTCTTCCAGGTCTTCCATGCAGGTGCAGGGTCCCAAGACTTTGGGCCGTCCTCTACTGCTTTCCCAGGCCACAAGCAGGGAGCTGGATGGGAAGCGGGGCCACTGGGATTAGAACCAGTGCCCGTATGATCCCAGTGTATTCAAGGCAAGGACTTTAGCTGCTAGGCCACGGCGCCGGGCCCGGACTCTGGATTCTTAAACTGCCCCCTCAATACCCCCCACCCCAGCTTTACAGCTCTTTCAAGAACAGAGTCCCTCTAAGGGGCAGCCCAAGGTAGGGCCTGTCTTACCTTGGCCTACAGGCAGTGCTGCCCAGCCTTTACCCTGAGCAGAGGAGTCACAAACGTGAACCCCTTGTGACTCCTCCCAACCTCCGCTGTGTCCCTCCCTGTGCAGGGCCCAGTGCCTGTACCCACAGGAATGAGCAGTGACATGGCTGGCATCTGTGTGGAGTTGCTGTGTCTCAGCTTTCCCACCTACAACAGGGGCCGTTGCAATAGCTGACCTTCTAGAAATGCCAGGCCCAAGCTGAAGCAGATCCCTTCTCTTTCCTTCACCTTAACCTGCATGTTAGCAACAGGGAGCAGGGTTCCATGGGGTCCTGAGCCCGGACCTCACTAGCCCTGCTGGAAGGAATCCCCTTTCCCCCGACCCAGCCTGTGCCTGGGGTGCTGAGGATCAGTTCGAGCTGGGGCAGCTGCAGCAGAGCAAGTGAGAGCCAGAGCAGAGGCAAGGCAGGCTCTCAGATGGGTTAGGCCATATTGGACATGCAGGCTGTCAGGAGCCAAGCTGGGCCAACAGCAGCTAGGCCTCTGTCCTTGGCAAAGCCAGCTGTGGGGGGCTGGCACTATGATACAGCAGGTTAAGCCACCTCCTGTGGGGCTGGCATCCCATGTGGGCACCAATAGGAGTCCTAGTTACTCTATTTCTGCTTCAGCTCCCTGCTAATGCACCTGGAAAAACAGTCAAGGATGGCCCAAGTGCTTGGGTCCCTGCACCCACAAGGGAGACCCAGATGAAATTCCACGCTCTGGCTTCAGCATGTCCAGCCCCAATTACAGTGGCCATTCGGGGAGTGAACTAGCAGATGGAAGGTCTCTCTTTTTTGGTCTCTATATAACTTTGTTTTCCAAGTAAACATTTTTCTTTAAAAAAAAAAAGTGGGGGGGGGGGGAGGAGAGACTGTTTAGATGTGGTTATTCTGCAGATGTGATAAAGGGTCTGAAAGCTTGGAGGCCAACATTGCGGTATAGCAAGTTAAGCTGCCATTGGTTGCCATGGCATGGCCACGTGTGTGATGTTTAGTCCTGGCTGCTCCAGTTCAGACACAGCTCCCTGCCAATGTGCTTTCAGGGGCAGTGGAAGGTGGTGGAAGACTGTCCAAGCGCTTGGCACCGGAACCCATGTGGGAGACCTGGAAGAAAACCTCGGCTCCAGCTTGGGCTCAGCCCCAGCCATTGCAGCCATATAGGGGAGTGAACCATTGAATGGAAATTTCTCTGTGTCTGCCTCTCTCAGTTGCTCTTTCAAAAAAAAAAGAAAAACAAAAACTTGAGGTAAAATGCACATAACGTGACAATAGCCATTTTGAAGTGCATCGTTTGGTGACAGTGAGGGCATTCCAGCTCTGCATCCTGCTGAGCTCCACCTGGTTGTCTCCACCTGCTGGCTACTGGGAGTGATGACACTCAGACATCAGGAGGCAGGTACCTGTGGAAGACCCTGCTTTCAATTCTCATGATTAGAGTCAATGTTCAGGTGCCAAGGTGTGGCTCCTTTATTTTACATGAAAATAACTCAAGGGAACATCGTTGTAGCATAGCAAGTTAAGCCACCCCCTGCACCTTTGGGCACAGGTTTTGTTTTCTCAGCTGCTCCACTTCTGATCTAGCTCCTTGCTAATGGCCTGGAAGAGTGGCAAAAGTTGATTCAGGTGCCACTGGGGCTCCTACACCATGTGGGAAGACTCAGAAGAAACCCTGGGCTCCTGGCTTCAGCCTGGCCCAGCCCTGGGCCTGTGGCCATCTGGGAAGTGAACCAGTGAATGGGAGCTCTCTCTTCTTTCCCACCTATAACTCTGCCTTTCAAGTAAATAAGTAAATATATCTTTTTAAAAATCACTCAGGCCTGGTGCCATGGCCTAGTGGCTGAAGTCCTTGTCTTACACACGTCGGGATCCATATAGGTGCTGGTTCTAGGTCCAGTGGCCCCGCTTCCCATTCAGCTCCCTGCTTGTGTCCTGGGGAAGCAGTAGAGGACGGCCCAAAGCCTGGGGACCCTGCACCCATGTGGGAGACCTGGAAGAAGCTCCTGGCTTCGAATTGGCACAGCTCTGGCTGTTTTGGCCACTTGGGGAGTGAATCATTGGACAGAAGATCTTCCTCTCTGTATATCTGACTTTGCAATAAAAATAAATAAAAATCTTTAAGAATCACTCAAAAGAACTGGCTGAGGCCTGTGCTGGGGTGCAGCTACTTCCTGGTGCTGCTCCCCTCAACCCCGACAGGTGTAACCGAGGTACCTTAGCAGCCCAGCATCTATCTCCTGCAGAACCTGGAGTGGGTGGAACGGGTTCTCTGGCTGTTCTCACCACAGGACTTGGGCAGTGGAGCTGTCCCTCTTTTGTAACGGGGGGACAGCCGTCCTTCCTTTTCATATCACAGGGAGGCTCAGCATCGGCTGTGCCACCTGGGCACAGGCCATGGTGGGTAGCCCAAGGATGGATGCTGTGTGGCACTGTGGAGAGGGCAGGAGGTTGGCCCTGGATCCTGCTGCCAGCTTGCTCTGGAACCTGGGAACTTCCCTTTCTGTGCAGGAGGGACTTTACTGAGGCCATCCTGAGCCTTTGGTCATAGTGACTCCATCTGAGCACCTGTGGTCAGGGTGCTGTCCCCTTGGTCACCCAGCACCCAGAGGTGGCATGAACCTTATCTTCGAAAGGTCTTAAAATAGACAGGCCATGTCATTGCAGGGGAAAGCAGCTGGTGGCCTGTGCTGCTCTGCCTGATGAGCTATACTTAGGCCCGCCCGGATGCCTGTAATTACCTCTCTTTAATATCAGCCTCATCACTGGCTGCTGCTTCCAGGAACCCTTGCTGCTCATCGGCGCCCCCTTCCAGCCATGGAGCGGGGTGCTCCTCTCCTGACACAGAGCCCGGACTGGGCTGTGAGCAGGTGAGAGCAGGTGAAGGCCAGGACTGGGGCCAGAGCCCACATCACTGGACTGTACTTCTCCCCACATCTAGAACCTCCTGTGGATCTCTCTCCCCTCTTCAGTTCCAATACTCTGGCGTGGCAGTCAAGACCCTCCCTGTTCAGAACCTGGGCCCCTTTTCTTGAGTGACCTGTCCCACTTCCCTGCTTCACAGCCCTTCCCTCTAATCTGCCAGCCCCACAGTTCCCACTGACATCCATACTGCTGCTGCCAGACCTGCACTTCTGCCTGAGCTTATGTGAACAGACCTAGTGTGTCCAAATGAAAGGAGGGGACAGCAAGGAGCCCTGCCAGCTGGGGAGAGGCACAAGGGCTGGAGACAAGGTGGGCAGGGCTGGCTGGACATTGTGGGAGCAGTCCATGGGGGAGCTGGCCACTGAGGGGCAGCTCTGCGGGAGGGGACAGGTGGGAGGGTAGTGCTGCCTTTGTCTCTGCACCCCCTTCGTCCTGCTGTGACCTCTAATAACGAGAATAGCTAGGTGCACCTTTGGCTTCTGGCTATGCGCTCTCTCCCCTGCTGAGCTCATCCCAACCGATGGCTTTAACCACTACCTATCTCCGACAGCTCCTGAGTTCATCTTCCGCCCACCAGCGGCCTCCCTGATGTCGTGGCTGCACGCCTGACAGCTCCAACATGGAACACCTGACTCCCTGCCAGCCCTGCCTGTCTCCTTCTAGCCTGTCTCCACTTAGCTGAGGGCCATGCCACCCCCCGCTGGGTCAGGCCAGACGCATCCCTGGCTTCTTGCTCGCTTGCTGCACGTCTCATTCAGAGGTCAGCACTCCACTGGCTCTGCGGTCAGCATATGCCAGGAGCCCACCCTTGTCACACACACACAGCTTGCCAGTGCTGGGTCCCCAGAGTCTCCAGCCCAAATACTGCTTGCAAATCCTTCCTGAGATGGCCACGGCCCTCACACTGAAGCCAATCTGGCTCCTTGGTTCCCTGGAGTGCATCTCCTGTCCCATTATCCCCTCATCCCTTGAATCTTCCCCATAGTCCTTGAACTTGGAGCACCCCATCCCCACTTTGCCCTGCCCTCCTTGCCCACAGGGCTCCCTCTCTGTGTTCCTTCAGGACCCCCCCGTTCATGGCTCCCTCCAGAAGGAGTTGTCAGGAGTGGCTCCCCTCTCCTGCAGCCCCTCTGCTGTCACCAGGTATTTCTTTTTATTGGAAAGCCAAATATACAGAGAGGAGGAGACAGAGATGAAACTCTTACATCTACTGAGTTATTTCCCAAGTGGCCACAATGGCCAGAGCTGAGCTGAGCCGACACCAGGAGCTAGGAACCTCTTCTGGGTCTTCCACACAAGTCCGAAAGCCTTGGGCTGTCCTCAACTG